ATATATATATATTGTTAGTTTCATATGACACTACAGAAGAGTCTAAAAAAGCATCTAATATTTGCATCGGATTTTTCAGAAGAAATTTTTTTGCATCTGACTTGTGGCTGAAAAATTTCGAAAAATAATTTCTGAAAATAAAAAAAATAAAGAAAAATGCAAAAGAAAAATTATGCAGTTAAGTTATTTCAATTTCTTTCACTTTTCTTTTGCATATTCATTGCATTTGCTTGTGAGCTTGTTGATCGACTTGTGTGGGTCACTATGTTTATATGTTGCATAGTTTTAAATTGTTCTTTGATGCACAGGGGAGCTGAGGTTGACCTTCCCCCTTTGAACCCTGAGATTGATCGCATTTTAGATGTCTTAGGAGACCGTAATTGCTTCCCGTTAAGATAGCTGACCCTAACACATCCATCATGAAACCACTTAGGGAATACATCAATCATTCTATCAAAAAATTCACATGAGCATTAACTATAATTCTGTCAAAGCCAACACTTTTGAATTGAGACCTGTCATAATCCAGATGATTCAAAACAACTAGTTTTTGGAGCTTTCGTCCGAAGGCCCATGCCCGTTCTTAGCAAATTTTCTTGAAATTTGCGCCACCTTATGATATAATGGTGTCATCAATGATGTCGTTAGATTGAGGGTTTTCCTCTTTTCTCTAAAAGATAAGGCTAAGTTATGTCTTAATTCTCTTTTCTCAGGATCAATCGTGACCTAAAATGACTAGGGACAAAAGTTTCTAGTCAAATATTTTCCTCCATTGAAAACAACAAAGCTTAGGAATGATATCATTTCATTAACACAAATAGATGGAGTCCATTTTCGAAGCTTGGGGAAGATTCAAGGAATTACTTAAGAAGTGTGTGCATCACGACCTACATGATCTGCTGATAATTCAAACATTTTACAATGGATTGGCAGGTTCCCTAAGATTGATCATAGATGTTGCAGTAGGTGGATCCTTAATGTCAAAACCTTTTAGTGAAGCTTGTCAACTTATAAAAGAAATGACCACCAATGATTTCCATTGGCATGCTGAAAGATTTGCACCCTAGAAGGTAGTTAGTGTTCGTGCAACTGATCTCTTAGCTATTCTTGCCACCCAAGCAGCTCTACTTTCTAGGAAATTAGATAATCCAAGGATGAATCCAATGCAAGGACTTCCACCAAATGATAGGTTGATTCATGGACCAGTGATAATTTCTAGCATCAAAATTTAGATATTATTAATGTTATAAAAAATAATGTTCATAACCCCTTTTCCAATACTTACAACCCCAACTAGACTATTTGCTTAAAATTTAATTGAAACATTAGTGAAATGGGTGTAGAAAAGCAAGTTTGGGTGAGAACTCAAGCCAAACCTATAGAAAATTGGAAAATCTGAGGTAGAGACCACGTTTGCCAAACTCAACCACGAGAAGACACCTCAAAACCCTAATTCAGAGGAAATTACTTGTTTTAAAAAAATGTTTGGTAAATTTGAGGAATGAACCAAACACCTACAAACAAGATTGGTTGACCTTCCTAAACTTCAATTGGAATAATAATAACCCTATAGTAGACAAACAACAATGGGGAGCCCCCAAGTTAATCATGTAGGAATTTGGAATAACCAGAATAGTGACTACCCTTGATAAAATAAGTTTTTGGAAGAATTAATGATAAACCTGGGAAAGGAGTTACAAAGCCAAGTTGATGCCCTTAGAAATATAGAAAATCAAGTTGGACAGTTATCTAAACAATTAAATAATGAGTCCCATGGGATATCAGG